GTTAAATTGTCTCTGTGTCTGTCTATATATGTAGTATGTCTAAATGGCATAGAATGTTTGCCATTGTATGTGCATTGTAATCCATCCTGAGTCCCCTACAGGGTGAGAAGTGCGGAATATAAATACTGCAAATAAATAAGTAAATAATAGCCAAATTGGAGCTATGAAGAACTGAAAAGAAGACTGCAGGTGAAGAGAAAGGCTGAGGACTGAGGAAGAATAGATAGGAGACCAGACATGAACTTACACAGTAAGATAAAGCAGAGGAAGCTTTATGCAAAAATCAGTGGTATCACTACAGTTGGTTTCATCCAGTGCAATAACTCATGGGATAACCCTTATGGACCACCACCCATCCCAGACCGTTTTACAATATTGTAGCTAAAATACCAGAACATTTGGTGAATTAAATGATTATTAAAAAACAAAAGGAATGAAAGCAGTGTTTGTATCCCATGCAAATGAAAAGATGTGATTTGATGCATCATTGTAATTGCGAAATAATGACAGCTCCGACCAGAGTGCACATTTGTTAGAGGGTTCAAAAAGGGAAACAACAGTTTTAGCTTTGTAGGTATACAAACAAATTCTACTTGAGAATAAACCTACAGAAACTATCTTGTTCACAGCATGGGGACTGTCTGTATTCTTAAAAATTACAGTGATCTTTAATGTCAGGAAGCACACAGTAGCAGTGCACATCTAAACAAAAAGGGAGATGCTTGCCATCCCAGCAACCTGTTTCACCTCATTCCCTCAAAGCTATCACAATTTACCGGATTGTACACATGTAGCAATACACAGCAACAGACTGGATTTTCCTGGAACTACAGAAATAGAAATGAATTCTGTTGTATCACATTAAAGCCTGAAAGAAGAACTTCCACTGCTAAAGTGGTTATATGTTGTTTGTCAGAATCAAGGCATCTACCAAGTGCGTATGATTTGGGTTGTTGTAGGTTTTTTGGGCTGCATTGCCATGTTCTAAAAGCATTCTCTCCTGACGTTTCACCTGGATCTATGGGAGGCATCCTTAGAGATTGTGAGGTCCTCACAGACCTCACAACCTCTGAGGATGCCTGCCATAGTTGCAGGCGAAACATCAGGAGAGAATGCTTCTAGAACATAGCCATACAGCCTCCACCACACTCCAAGGCAGAGAGTTCCACTGCTGAACAGCTCTCACAACCAGGAAGTTCTTCCTAATGTTCAGGTGGAATCTC